CATGACATGTTGGGGGGGAGATTCAACACAAGAGACCAAAGCCCCTTGATTAATTTCGACTGAGATACTACCTGTCATGAGTAGGAAATGATCAACCTATGCATATCTATCGCACGGTGCACACACTTGAACGTAGCATATATAAACATCAAAATACACCGCGCAGTTGTAAGGCCTGGGGGTTAATTACTTATTAACACCCTCTGATTCAATGAGAGGTTCTCTCTCATTGCACCCGCTCTCCTCTGCACTCAGAAAGCCAGGTCTGGCTGGGCCTGACCACTCTTACCGCGTAGTTATTATTTGCTCTGCCTCCTGTTCCTGCAGCCAATCCTCATTTTTAACATGTAAGACCTGGCACACACACATAAAACGCCGTCTCCTTTGACAAGGACCCGCCTAGCCAGTCGAGTTGGCGAAGACAAGTCCACACAAGATGCGAAAAAAAAAAAAAAAAAAAAAAAAAAAAAAAAGTTTTTTGAAAAAAAAAAAAAGGCCCTCTTCTGTATTTCTATCTGCTAACCACTTGTGATGAGAAATTCCCGAGAAATAGGGGCAAAAGTGCAAAGACGAAGAAGAAGGGGAGAATTTGCAAGACAAGAGGCTGTGCAGGCTAAAATGGTTAGACAGTTGGTGGGGTGAGGAGCCCTTGGCCAGGGACCCTTCTCATCACGGTGGAACAATGAAGATGTTTCTCGTCAGAGAGGAAAAGTAGTTTTATGCTTGACGCTGCAGTATTATATTATGTTAGCTATTGAATACACGGTTCCGGAGCAAGATGGCGAAAAATAACATAAAATATTACTCAGATTCAGCAACAATGACGAATGCACCTTTATGCGGATCAAATGGGGGCTTGAGGATGGCAGCAAGGTGGCTAGGGGGGTTGCAGTAACGAAAAAATAATTGCCATTAAAGTTCGTTGTAATCATCAAAACAACAACAACATTTGAGATTGGCGAAATGGGAGATGTTTTGCTTCCTCGCCCGCTCTGGTTTACACACGCATAGTTACTACGCAATATATCCGTGACACAGGAGATATCCAAGCCAACCTCCAGGCCGCGTGTCTAGGGCATTGGGCAGTGACATCAACCCCCGTGACGGTGTATTGTAAACGCCGTACACACCGTACGGCGTACACAGTATTTCACGCCAGGATCGGGCAGCGGATTGTGGCTCAGCGCACACACCAGCGACACCTAGGTAATGTACGCCCGAGATCTTGGTTCCCCTTCTGTTTTTTATGGCTCCGATTTTCAGCCAGCAAAAAACGCTCTCGACACTCGTCAACCACATCATCCGTCCTCTCTCAATGGTAATAATTTTTCACATTTCAAGACCCTCGCCCGCTAACTGATCAAATCCACCATTAGCCGTGTACCTTGGTGAGTGTGGGGAGCCTATGTTCGCATGAGTGTCTACTCCGAGACGATTGCACTAGTAAGGTTTGCCAAGTTATCTTACATGTAATGTAATACCGCCATATAAGGCGCCTAACCGCATCGCGCCCACCTGCTCGCTCCTCCGTCCCGTCATCCAACGTCGTCTCATCGCCTTCATCTCACGTCCACCTCACCTCTTTGCTTATTGACTACTTCTCTTCTCCTTCTTCTTCTTCTTCTTTTCCCATCTCTCTTCTAGGTTGTTTCTTTTGTCACGACAACCTTCTTGACGACCATCTACCTCTACCTACAATAGTCGCTTCCCGTCGTCTTCCGCTCACTTGTTTTCGTTTTTCTGTCGTTCCCGCTTTCCAACTTGTGGGAACACCATCGCTCGTTGCATCTTCATCACCAGCTTATCCGTGCCGTAATCAACTACTGCCACGTTACTCCGCTCGCTCTTCTGCTCTATTCGGTCGATCTTTTACGAAACTCTTCCTCGATCGTTGACCCGACAACCTTCGTGTGTGGCACGTTGCATCCAGCAGGCCTTGCTCAGGAACGATCACTCTCCCCTTGAACGAAGTCAAAATAATCCCATCCATCGATCCATCGATCGATCTCTCCATTTCGACCTCGTTTCATCTTTTCGGTTCCATTGATAATAATATACAGGACAAGGACACAGGTGCTCTGGAGTACCTGATTCCTCTTCGAGCAGAGGGCATCTCCGTGTTGAATGCTGCACATCATTTAATCCCCTTCGCTTCCTTTCCCCCCCCCCAAATTCACCATGAAGCCCCTCGCAATACTCTCATTTTCGTCGCCTTCACCACATCCCCCCTAAAGTCTCGGCCGTGAAATTTGATCTCGGCTGGAATTCCTTAT